GCTATTTTGATAATTTACCGAATTTCTTTTAATTACAGATTTGTCTTGAAACAATAAGTTATATGTTTACACGCGGATTTAACTTAAATATAGTAAAAATAGCTGTTAAAACCAGGATAACAATTAATGCACTTACATCACGCAACTATTATTTGTCGTATAATAAATTAACGTTGATTACGTATACAATAATTGCAGTCATACCAATAATCAAAACAATCTTGCCATCGGAAGACGTGATTGCCACATATTGACTGGGGGCTGTGCTCAGTTTACCTATAATCTTTCAGTCTAGTTGTTTCATATACACACTATGTATCCGAGGCGTTCCTCGTGGAATGCGTATAATCAATCATAAGAAGACGGGTTTTCAACTCCCTCTACCACTTTATAAACATTTCGGGTCCCGTTTAATTACTTTCTTCTACGTATTTTACCATTACTTATGACAAATTCTTAATAGCCACTAAAATTCAAATATTATAATTATAAAATTACATACATCTTATCGAGTCTAACTACTTTTCGGAGAGGGCTTACTTACATGTTTCTTGAACAGGTATAATAATAAACCTCTTCGGTGGTGTGAAAGTAGTTATTTTTAGCCTTGCTTCTGTTGGGAAACGGGAATCGTTTGGTTAAAATAATCACCACAGCTGACAGTGAACAAGAAGGGAAATGTATTATGTAACAAATAAACAATATCGCAGAAACACAGAATATGTGATTTATAAAATGAACACTAGGAGGCGCTAATCACAAATATACAGCAGCACAAGTGGTTTCTCTCATTCCAAAAATGAACACTGGGTGGCGCTAATCACAACTCACAGCTACACATTGAACTCTACATGTGGTTCCTCTTATTCCAAAAAAAATGAACACTAAGAAGGCGCTAGTCACTCAGACTTCGTATTGAAATAAATGAATGAAATCAGAATCTCCATAGTTTTAGAAACATTTCCACTCTCCGACGAGTAGCTATGTAGTTCGGCGGGTGTCTTAATAACTTTCTGCCACACTGATGAAACAGTGCACTCCAGTTTAAAACCGTGTCTGTGCACAGGAGAAATCAGCAACCACTCTGCTAGCCCAGGCGAGAGTGCAAATGACTCTTCCAGGTGCCAGTGTCGTAACCCCAAAGAAATACACATTTATTCATCGAAATGTCAGCTGAAGTAACGCCTCACTGTCCACTTCTCTCATTCTTCTGTTACGAAATCTTAGAAACTCTATCCTAAATCTTTAAGGCGTGGCTGAGTAAACATGCGATCAGCCAATCGCTGCAGTCGTTTGCACGATCACGTGATTACCATTTTTAGTAATTTTAAAAATCGCAAGTTGGGTGATGCTTAAATTTGTCGAAAAATGTCAACCCCTCGCTCATTTTAGTCAATTGTCCCTGTTACAAAAATGGACTAGACATATTAACGGTCGTCATACCCTCGTCATTTTCAAACTGCAGTTGAAAAAGTGATTCGCTCAAGGAAGGCACTTTTGATTTGACAAAGTCCATCAAAGCGTTATAATCAAGTTTTCCGTCCGTGTAGCCCTGACGTACTCTCCTACCTCGGTATAAAATCTGAATTTGATACATAATGTACCAGTAATGTAAAAACAACTTTTAGTTTGGCTCAAAACTGTCGCGAAATAGCAGCGCGTCCAATGCTAAGGAACTCTACTTTGAGCCTTCCCGCCAACGACGAGTTCATTAATACCTGGGCTTACTGAACACTCGGGAGTTGTTTTGTTGTTGTTGTTGTTGTTGTTGTTGTTGGACCTGCCAATACAACGGCGCCATCAAGTCTAGATTGGAAAAGACCCAAGTGTTTTGCAAAGTTCCAAGATATATTGCTAATTGACTGTCCGAATAATTCTCAGAACGGCTGTAAAATAATACAAGAACATTTCCAAAACTTCCACGACTCGTACACACGTGTACTGCATTCACACATAGTCACTTTCCCCGGAACAAAATTTGATCATTAGACTAGGATCACGGTCAATCGAATATGATAATAATAAATAAGTCTAATCTTTGACGACGCCATGCTTGAGGGCGCTGCACACTATTACCCTGTTAGTAAGCTGCCATATATAGGCGCACATGGGATGGACCCTTAGTAGAAATCTAGTCCAAACTGAAATTGTCAGTTCATGTGAAGCGATATTACCTTTCAATATTTTTATTATTTAATTTATGTTAAATTGTACTAAAAATACTTTCCTATCTTAATTGCCTTTGATTTCAGCTATGAATCATATTAAATGCAACGCCCTTGAGTGACTGAAAGCTATACCGATGAAACATGGTGATGTTACTGTGTTGTTTATTAACTCAAAACTCATGTACTTCCCTTCGTCTTTATAAATAATCACCGAGCACAGTGCGTAACGACATCCTTTGAAAACGTTTGAATGTTAGTCAATTGGCCATTAATATGAATGCCAATTGGGGAATTATTATAGACGAAAATTAAAATTATCTCGATATAATAAATCGAGATCCCTAGATAGTAAGTTTACCCGAATTTACAAGATTGGTGGTAAAGTGTGGTTGATGTCATGCTCCAATTTTGTTGTAGCTTCTTATGTATATTCAGATAAAAACAAAACAGATTAATTTTGCACGAGTTGTTGTGAGGGCGCTGTGCGAGGAAATGAAAGTGTTGACAAGCTCCAGTACACAACCAAGATGGCGGCGTTGAGGAAGTAGGGTCCCGTTCGGAGTTGCAGTAAATACTTAATAACATTCGAGATATGAGATAACTGGACGATTTAAATCACTTGACTGTCCTTTGAAAATATCGTAGAACAACTGTAGCTGAAAAGTTTTGCACACGTAAGTTCAAATGTTTGTCAACTTTTCGATTTGTTCCAAATTTCGTTTCCAAGTTTCGTTTCCTGGTTCAGTGGCCGTGATAA